AATAGTATTGATAACAATAATAACAAAAACAATAATAATAGTAATAATAAATGCAATAATAATACTAATTATAACTATAATATATCTGTGCAGGTTTCCGCAACTATTTGATAGCGGAGAGACAGCAAATCTTCAACCCGGCCAACAGAGTGGTGTGGCAGGACATGAATCGCCCACTGACTCATTACTTCGTGGCTTCGTCTCACAACACGTGAGTTGTCCTCTTACTCTTAACTTCACATCAAACTTTCCTTTCTTTAATCTGCTAGTGATCTGTGAACGTAATTCGACTGCTCAAAGTAAGACTACATACATAATAGACCACGTTCATGATATTTTAAAATGGTATAAGTTTTAGTTTTAGTAAGTGTTTTGCGGCAAGTGCAACACTATAAGGTCATGTAAGTGCCGAAGATTAGAGGTGTTACAAGAGAGTAACAAACACGAAAAAGGAGGGGAGATAAAGATGATAGATGTTTGATAGGAAAGAAGAAGCAAACCACACCAGAGCACCCGCCAGCTACCCACATGGTATAAGTCACCCGTATCAACACCATTAGTTTATTTAAGAGGCGGGACCTCCGATTGTAACATCCATGTCCGAAAGGACACAGTCAAATGGGAATTTCGTGATAAGTGCTTTTCCCAAGGACACAACGTCGGACGGAGCTGAGGCTCGAACCCCCGAACCCGCAATCTCACGACGACACACGTAGACTACATAATACCACATCATAATTGACCACGTACTTAAACAACCAGGCTCAAACTACATCACCACGTACATAATTTACAGCGTTCAGAATAGACCACAAAGCGGCTGTTTGGTGTAAAACTCCGGCATACCGCTACCTTAGAATTACACAGTTCTATCTGATATTTTTGGTCGATTTGAATTCCTATAAGGTGAGAAACCGAATTATAATTTTCCATTTGCTCTATAAAAATCGTAAGATAATTCGGAGTCGTTATCAAGATATTCAAAGAATTGCATTTGAGAAACCTTCACATGTTGTGAAACTCAGAATTTTTCACTTCAAATATCTCAAAACTAGGTACTGGGCAGATAAAACTTTGTAATTCTAAGGTAGCGAGTCACTTTTCAAAATGATCAATGCTGAAGTCTTACACTAAGGAGTCGATGTGTAGTCTATTATGTACGTTGTCATTTTTATCCGGGATGTACTTGTGGCTTGAGCACGGTATGTATGTGGTCAAATTATGTAAAGTCTATTATGAACGTGATCTATAATGTACGCAGTCTAGTATGTAATAGTAGCTAGTTATGTACACGGTGATTTACATATTGTTATTATGTATCTGCGCGGAGCATTATGTATGACGTATTTAATGTACGTGGTGTATTGTTTACCTTCAGTATCGTTTACGTGGGGGATTATGTAGGTGGTATTTTTTGTACCTGGTCTATTACATGCATGTATACAAATTAAATACAATGGTATGTACATCATTATTTATGTATTGTACCATTTGCGTGGTCTGTAATTATGTACCGTACAAGTACTTAGAATCTTCACTCTCCCTCTGTTGGGTTTTTTTTTTTAATCGGTCGTTCGTTTTCCAAACTTAATGGCCGTTATTACGTCGATAGACTTCTTTTTACTCGCTGAAATTAAACAAAATGTGAACTACTGGTGACAATGGTATAACTGTAAGGCCCCTCGCTGTTGTATGCAGAAGCTGCAAGTTCGATTCCCTCTTATAAGCATCTGTGGAGTAGCAGTTAAGCCCTTTGTTGTCGTACACAGGAGACCTCACTTCGATTCCTTGGTGGGGAGAATATTTATCGAGTAAGTTGGCCTTTCTGCTGCAACACTGTATTTTTCACAGACCGGGTTGGTCCTGATAAAAGGGGTGGCAGCCCGCCTCCTGAATTATCTAATTGTGTCGATGGGGGGCGTAAAAATATGTTTTATTCTTTTTATTTCTATCTAAATTAGTTCCCTCCTTGGATATCCTAATGGTTAGGCTACCGGACTCGTAATCGTGAGATTGCGGGTTCGGGGTTTTGAGCCTCAGGTCGGTCCGACGTAGAGTTCTTGGGAAAAGCACTTTACCCGATTTTCTCAATTAGTTCGGTCATTTTGGAGATGGATGTTAAACTCTGAGGTCTCTCCTCTTTAGCAACCTAATAGTGTTGATTGGGGCATCAAACTTATACCAATTTATCATTTTTTTCACCCTCTTTGAAAGCATGTTTTGGCGGGTGGTTGGAGGGCGCTGTTGGCAGGTCCTACTTCTTTACTTTCCCCTCTGTCTGTCCGTCTTTTTCCCCAGAACTAAATGACCGTTGTTGTTTCGATGTGCTTCACTTTATTCGAACACAAACAAACCTATCTTGCTGAGTGTCCGGGGCCATTCTGCAGGGAAGCTGTGTCCTACTCAGCTCGGTCTGGCTCTTATTGGCAGGATCAAAGACACCTGGAGTCGCACTGTTAGCTTAGTTGGTTTCACGCTGGACTAAGGAGCGGATGGCCCTTGTTTAAATCTCCAACGGGTCGTTTTGAACTTTGGTTGTCGGGTGGGCGCGGGGGGGGGGGGGCGCTTGTAGAGTCCTGTCGGAGATGGACGTTAAATTCGGAAGTTCTGCCTCTTAAATAACCTCACAGTGTTGAAACGGACGTTTAACCTATACAAAAATCGAGGAAAGCAGCCTCGTTTGAAAACGATCTAAATCGTGTCAACGGAGGCGTAAAATATTGCCTGTCAATGACAGTCTTATCTTCATCAATTCCTGACACCAACATGGGGGTTATCCGTCTGGCTCTGCTATAGCCGACAACTCCACTCAATACTGTCGAAATTGTCTACTTATTGCACGCCGTTGGGGATTTGAACCAGGGTCATCCGCTACATAGTCCAGCGTGAAACCAATTGAGCTAACAGTGCGATTCCAGGTTGCTTTGAACCGAAACCCTGCCAGTAAGAGCCAAACCGGGCTGAGTAGGATACAGCTTCCCTGTAAAATAACCCCGGACACTCGGCAAAATAGACTTGTTTGTTTTTTTATAGAAAGAAGCATATCGACAAAGCAACGGACACAATCCATTTTCGAGAAAAAAGTGGCTGTTTTAGACAATTGGACGTCTTACACAGAGTCATTAAAATGTAAAAAACACAAAAGGGGAAATGAAAGTAGCCGCTTGTACAGGATCTTGTCTTATACAGGTGGTCGTTAGAGCAGGTTCAACTGTATGTCATTATACATGTCTTCGGCGCTTTTGTAACCAAGTTGGTTCGTTAGCGCCGTAAAACAAAATGCCCTCCTAACCAGCTATCCCTGGCTTCACAGTTACTTAGCCAAAGACCAACTGAAAGGGCCAAGTCGGGTAGAAATGTACATCCGGGCTATGCAGAGAGGCTGCCGATGTGTGGAACGTAAGACGGTTTGCCTGTGTGCTCACAGAACTTCTTACCTTACCCCACATTCAGTTGTTGTTTTTTTGCCTATCACGTGACACTTTTGGCCATCACGCGATGCGGTTGGTTGTTGCTGTTTTTTTATCCTCTTTGTACATTTACCACCATCTTTTTAGCTTTGGTTTTGTTTTGGTTTGGGGTGTTTTTTTTTGTATTATTCATTACATACTTGCTGTGGTAAGCTTGAGATTGAAAATATCGAGTGTGTAGAACAGCTATTTAAAGTTGTGTCTTTATAATTCTGTGTGGATATTGGAGTCTTTAAAACGAAACCTCGAGAGTGGGTCCCAGCCGTAGCTTATAATAAAACGTACCCTCTCCTCTCTATTAGCTCTCCTCACTACAGCCCCACACCCACGACAACGACAACGACAACCACAACCATTACCATCACCACCATCACCACGACTACAACCACCAAGGTTGCAACCAACATCACCACAACCATCACCCCGACAACCACCACCACCACCTCTCTCTTTCTCTCTCTATCTCTCTCGATATATCTCTATCTCTCTCTCTCTCTCTCTGCCCCTCTCTCTCTCTCTCTCTCTCTCTCTCTCTCTCTCTCACGCACATACACACACACACACGCGCGCGCGCGCGCGCGCGCCATACACACACACACACACACAAACACACACACACACGGACGTCTCCTCTCTCATTCTTTCTCCCTCTCTCTCTCTCTCTCTCCCTCTCTCTCTCTCTCTCTCTCTCTCTTTCTCTCTCTCTCTCTCTCTTTCTCTCTCTCTCTCTCTCTCTCTCTCTCACACACACACACACACACACACACACACACACACACACACACACACACACACACACACACACACACACACACACAACCACTCCCCTTACCGCCACCACAACCACCACCACCATGATAGTTTTTTTTAAATTTACTTTTTACTTATTTATTTACCTTTTCTTTAAGTTTGCATCAATTAAACATGACACAACATCACAGTGGGCAATAGGAACATGCCATTGCTGGTCACCATAATGCATAAACCTGGGGGGGGGGGGGGGGTGTTTTTCAGCTTGGCTTCGCTGACGTGTCTTTCTCTTTGCTTGACATAATGTTCTGTAAGATCGAGCTCACAAGCCACTGAACCACTTTCGTTTTCCACAAAGAAATATTGCAGTAAACAATATGATCAAACTTTGATTTCTGAGTTCTTAACCCTATATTTGCGTTCACTGTTTGGGTTGTTTTGGTTTTATGAAATACGCACTTTACAGTCATTTATCCTTGATGGAGTTCGATGTTTGTAGATACTTTTTTTTTCTAATTCACATATTTTGTTTTGGGATTTACCTCCGTGATTTTTTTATTGCATTATATATCTCTTGGAGTACAATACTTAGGAATAAGCCCTCCTGTACTGCACTACTACAAAACAGCTGGTCAAGTTTTGTCGTTGAGTTGTAGACAATGACAATAAGAGAAGCCTACAAGACCGACACAGCACTCTTATAATTTAATCGTGCTTCTCTTTAGTTTCATTATCCACAACTCACCAAGCGGCTGGTTGGAGGGTGCCACTGGCAGGTCTTTCCTCTTTACTTCTCCTTTGTTGTTTCTGTTTGTCTGTCTTACTTTTTCCCAGCACAAAACGACCATTAGTGTGGCGATGTGCTTCTCCCTTTACTCAAATGAAACAAACAAATCAGCGACTAAACAGTTTGCCAATTGTTTTGTCATAGTTTGGTACTGGGCTAAATTATGTTAGAATTTTGTTTTGCTGTGGTTTTGTTTACAGTGTGGACGTGTGTTTTCATTGGTTACCTTCAACAGTTTAATGATTTCTTAACCATAATCACCCAACCCTCTCAATGTTTCAAGTCATGTACTCTTTACCATTAATTTACCTTTTTTTTATAATTTCCCCCTCTGTGCGTGTTTTTTGTTCAGTTACTTGGCGGAAGATCAACTTAAAGGTCCAAGCAAGGTGGAAATGTATATCACAGCTCTGCGCAAGGGATGCCGATGTGTGGAGTGTAAGCATTAGTGGTTACGCGAAACTAATCATCTTTACTTCTTTCTTCCTATCGACACCGGTGTCTGTGGTGTAGCTGTTAGAACTTCGCCGACGAACGCAAAAGAACTGAATTCGATCCCTGTATGGAGATTATTTTTATCGAGTATCTCAGTCTTTCTGCTGGGATGTTATATCCCTATCATTCCGGGCTGGATCTTACAGGCAAAGTCGAAGCCCAACTTCTTGACGTTCTAAAGTGTGTCTATCGGGGCGTAAAAAACGCCAACTTTTCTTCTTTTTTTTTTTTTCCATTCTATTTCCTTGCGACATTTGGCTCCGTTGCCAACCAGAGCTGTCATCTAGCAGAATCTTGATATAGGGGATAAGGGTCTTGCCAAGGTCTCTTTTATTAAAATAAGTTTAAATCCCCTGTTGCTCATGGCGACATGGGTACTCCTATGTTGGTCTTTCACAGTGAGTCCCTGAATGTCCGTAAATGGTCAAGTAAGTTTCGAATGGAATATGCTCATAAGCAAAAGTCTAGCAATTTGATGTACTTTACAAAGTAAAGCTATCGACACCAATATATAATATGCGCATAAACACAACTGTAACCATGAGCGGTCAAACAGAATAAAGGTATATACGTAACGCGTGCATGTAAAAATAAAAAAACAATACTTAATCTTCACGGAGAGGGCCACTTAGCAAGATTTCGAAAGCCTGGTAAGCCAAGTGGGTCTATGACTGCCTTTACTGTATCTAATGAGGCTGGTTGGACACCACCACTTTTCCGTCTAGAAGTGTGGAACTTAATCATACCGAGGTTCTATTCAATACTTGGATAAAATGATAAATGCTATAGTATTTATTTGTATAGTGCAAACTCCCACTCAACAGCAAGCTCTGTGCGCTTAAAAGAAATAAGACCAGCTCTCTCAGCCTCCGCGGTGTAGTGTTTATAGGTAGTTTGCCATCATGAAGAAGACACAGAATTCGATTTTCATATAGATGGGATATGGGGAAAACTTTTCAAGAGTATTCCCCCCCCCCCCCCCCCATCCGTCTCTCCGCTGGGACTTTGTATCCATCTTCCCCGGGTCGGCCATGACAAGCAGGGTCGAAAAAGCCCGTCACTAAAACGATCAAGATTTTTTTCGATGAGGACGTAAAACTTCTACAGTTACAGTTCTTTCTCCATTTGTGAAATCGTTTTGTTTTCTTTGATATAGTAAAAACATTTAACATCTCATGTTGAAGATACCATCTGAAAGACGCTTCTCTGGTTTGGCTTGAACATTAGAATAGGATAGTCATTAAGTTTCAGTGTGTGTGTGTGGATATAACGTACTACAGTGTGTGTGTGTGGATATAACGTACTACAGTGTGTGTGTGTGGATATAACGTACTACAGTGTGTGTGTGTGGATATAACGTACTACAGTGTGTGTGTGTGGATATAACGTACTACAGTGTGTGTGTGTGGATATAACGTACTACAGTGTGTGTGTGTGGATATAACGTACTACAGTGTGTGTGTGTGGATATAACGTACTACAGTGTGTGTGTGTGGATATAACGTACTACAGTGTGTGTGTTTGGACATAATGTATTAGCAAACCTGCATTTTTAGATAGCAGAACTTTTCTTCAATAACATTTTAGTTTACATATCTTGTTCTCCCACCATATTATTATCTCACTGGTGTCTTTGTGACAGTTTTGCTTGAATTATTCTGTCTGGGTTTCCTTCGTTTGTCTTTTCTGTTGATCTGGGTAACGTTATTAAGTCGCATGCCTGGGTTTTTACCCGCTTTTACATTATTTCTTCAGCATGCCCAACTTATCACTTTTTTAGCACCAATTGTATAGTTTTACTTAAATTGTTTCTTTGAGCTTGATATCTCTCATCCTCAGTTTAGTTTTGTTGAAGTCAAAGAGATTTAACTTGCCAAGGTCTTCACATATTTAACTTGTTCTTTTCTAACTGAAATATTGCCATATATATTCAAGCTCCATAATGTAAACGTTATCAAAGGTAAAATATTATATAATAGTTAAATGTTTTGATCAATAGCCTAGCGAAACACCTGTACTGCCTGACCAAAAGTTTTCAGACTTCTCAGAGGGAATGTGATTGTATTCCCAGAACTAAAAGGGTTAACTGGAAATGTTATTGATAGTTAAATCTTTATCTCCGCTGCTATCAGTAAGTTTAAAAAAATATTAATGTAAATAAATCTGGTAGTCTTCTTTTTCTTTAGTATTTCTTTCTGTTCAGACAGTATAATATAGTATTTATCTTTTTCTTGACTGAAAGACATGCTTGTATTATGTAAGGATCTTGTTACATAACATTTTACTTGGTTAATGTCAAAGAGTGTTTTCTGTAAAACTAACTTGTCGTTTTCATGTAATTATAGGACTGTATATCTATGGAAGATTGGGTTGTCAAGGCCATGAGACATAGTTTTTATCTGAAGGCTATAGTTTACTCCATATTTCTATGTTTCCAATATTTTCATCTTAAGAAGAAAATCATGAACACCACATAGTCATTGGTGCATTCTTGACTTCACGTTGTTCCCTAAGATCAACACATCAAGTGATCACAGATCGACTGGAGTTTAGTGCAAGACTCGGCCAAACGCTATTTAACCCTATCCGTACGTCGTGTTTTACTAACGTATCCATACGACGTGGAGAACTCTGTGCCACCACTTTCCAAAGAGGAAATTTACTCGTTAATCAGATCCGTACGCTCTGCATAGCAGTATGTCAAAACGATTTTTTGGAGAAATACTGAAAGTTTCAAAGAGATCTTCGTACCAGAAGCATTCTGAAATGTGAAGAATACAACCCGGGGGTACAAAATGACACAAGGGCCAACGAGTAGGGTTGAATAGTGACATATTATGACGGAGTCGTACACTAAGCAATGTATTTGCACGTACAAGAATAGTATACAGTTACCCCAATACTTACCAGCGCTTTCGCCCAAATCTTTCCAGTGGATTGTTGGGACGGCTCGGAAGGAGAGCCGGTGATCTACCACGGCCACACCCTCACCTCCAAGATATTGTTCAAAGACGTCATCAAAGCAGTCAATGACTACGCCTTTGAAGCCTCGCCGTAAGTAATAGTAATGATAATGACAATGAAAATGATAATGATAATAATAATAATAATAATAATAATAATAATAATAATAATAATAATAATAATAATAACAATAATAATAATAATAATAACAATAATAATAATAATAATAATAATAATAATAATAATAATAATAATAATAATAATAATAATAATAATAATAATAATAATAATAATAATAATAATAACAATAATAATAATAATAATAATGATGATGATAATAATTAATGATGAGTGACAGGGGTGAAATTAACGTAAAAATTGCCGCTAGATTTAGCTGACTCTTCAAAGCGTGAGTGTCCTTGAAACCTGCAAATTTTCTTTTGCGTGCCTTTGAAGAAAGTTTTTTTTCTGTAAAATTCACACAGAAATAGGTCTGTTCCTGTTAATGGAGATAGAAGGTGTTGAGCTAAAATAAAATATTTTCTAAAATCCCAACTGGTGGAAAATCTTCGATTTCATTATTTTGAAGAGCGCCTGATTGCACCATAATGCCTCACTTAATTTGTAGAAGCATCTCAAGAGACGGCCAATCATACATCATAAACAAATTTAATGCTACTTTGTACGAACATCATTTCTCTGGTGTTGGTGTAAAGTATTTTAAAAGCACGGTGTCCCAGTTGTGAAAATAGAAGTTTGTGCAAACATGGAAGGGAAATTCTACGGTTTATAAAGTTCACAGGGATTAACCGTAATAATTTTGTGCTCAAGTGGAAGTCTGTAATAGCTGCGACAAATCCCCCAAAAGTCAGAAATTTGGAATCGTACAGGATAGCATTTAGCACGCGCATACTCTGAGACAGGGTTAGCAAACAATCACAGCTGAACATTGATTTTTGTGTGTGTCTTAGGTGCGTGCGTGTGTGTGTGTGTGTGTGTGTGTGTGTGTGTGTGTGTGTGTGTGTGTGTGTGTGTGTGTGTGTGTGTAATTATGTGTGACATTGTGTGTGTGTTATTGTGTGTGTTATTGTGTGTGTGTGTGTGTGTGTGTGTGTGTGTGTGTGTGTGTGTGTATGTGTGTGTGTATGCACGCGCGCGCATTGCGAATGTGTGTTCGCATGTGTATGTATGTGTGTGTGTATGTTGTTGGTGCTGTTGTTTTATTGTTGTTGTTGTTGTTGTTGTTGTTGAGGGTCTTTTTTAACCCATAAACGCTTTTTTCCGTGAAAGAAAAATTGAACACGCATAACTAGGTGTGCTGTGTCGTCCAGCTGTGGTAAAGAATCGTTATGACTCGTAAATATAATTCGACCCATGATCTACCCACAGCTACCCCCTGACTCTGTCGTTGGAGAACCATTGTTCCGTGGAGCAGCAGAAAGTTATGGCGGAGAATATGGTGTCCATTCTGGGCGGTATCCTTTGAGCTTTTTTATTTTTGCATTGTTTCTTTTGTTGTTTTGGGGGTTTTGGGTTTTTCCGTTGTTGTTGTTTTTTGGTTGCTTTTTTTGGTTATGTTTTTTGTTAGTTGTTGTTTGTTTGTTTTTTAAGTGGTTAAAAGAACTACATGTCCAACAAAATTTACGATTTAGCCCTTGTAAGCCCAATGGAAAGGAGTTCCATTGTTAAGGCTATATATAGTCCCAATACGCGTTGAAGTTATTGAGACTACATATTGTCTACAGAAGGTCTTCTTTGATTTTCTTTTTTTTTTATTTGTTAACCAGACACTTTACTCTAGATCTAGAGATCTATATCTTTGGGTCCTGTGTTGAGATAAATGGACATATCTCTCTCCTGAAAAAAATGTCTTCCTTGGCTTAGAACAGTTGAATAGCTTGCCAATAATACAGCTCTCTGGGGATTGATTTCCTTAAATCTGTTGTCCAGACAAACTGTGGTGTCCACAAAATGACTACGTTGCCACTCCCTCCCCAGAACAGCTGAGATATAGGATTATTATAAAGGTAAGCTTCTAGTCTCGCCACGGGTACTTCTGTTGTAGACAACAAAAATACACGTCACGTAGAGCAGTAAAAAAATGTGCCGGTGGTGCGGTGCCATTTCGAATAAGAGAAGGTTTCGCTGACTAACTAAATTTTCATTGTGAAGCTCCAACTCTTGCTCGTCACGGAAAATAACTCTGTGGTTCTAATTGATTTGTTCAATAAACTGGGTTATCTCCCTTCCAAATGGTATCCGCGCCCTAATGCAATCTCTCTCTCTATATATATATATCTCTCACTCTCACTCTCTCTCTCTCACTCTCTCTCTCTCTCTCTGTTAATAGACTTGTGATCAATTGGAACAACTTCAGCATTTTTGACTTGTTTGTGTTGCGAGTGTCATAAAACTCGTACTAAAACTAAAAACTAAAAAACATAATCCCTGCCACAGGGTAAGACATTACCTCTCTCTACTAACGATGATGACTTGGATGTGAGTGATGAAGATGAGGCTGCTGATCTTCCCTCCGACCCGGCATCTCAGGAACCGAAAGAAAAGAGCAGCAGTTCATCCAGTGACGGACACAAGAAAATCAAACTTAGCCCAGAACTCAGCTCCATCACCAGCATGAAAAGTGTCAGCTTTAAGGTCGTCGATTCTTCCTTTATCCCAGGTGATTTAACGATTTAATTAGACTTTTCATGATTTCTGTTCTGCTTTTATATATACATATATATATATATATATATATGTATGTTATGGGGCTAGCAGTCAGAACATTTTGGTGTCATACTGGACTGCAGTGACTGGGAAATCCCTAAAGGGCCCCTCTTGTACTTTTGATGTTTGAAGAGTTTTCTTGTCTCTCCTCTCTTGTGGCTCATTTTTTGTCAGAAATGAATGTAAATTGAAGGTTCTATTTTGAATGGTCTTATATAATGCCTGAAAAGATTACTGACAACTTGCACAATAAACAGGAAAAATTATTCTGCATTTGTTAACTGACTAAATTTGTTGAAAAATACTGTACTATTTTATTTGTCACTTCTTTTTTCTTTCATAAACAATCAACAAATTCAGCAGCATCATTTTAGATGAAAGTGAAAAAACTTATGATAACTTTTTTTCTGTTTTTGTAATTAGTTAGTGTCATCTCTTTTGATGAAAACAATGCGGGAAAATTTATTGTGGGAACTTTTTTCTATTTTTGCAGACCCTACATTCAGTGTGGTCTCTTTAGGAGAAAGCAAGGTGGAAAAACTGATACAAACTAATCCGTTTGGACTCAATGACATAAGCCACAGCAAAATGATTCGCACATACCCTGCTGGGACCAGAACTGACTCCAGCAATTATAACCCAGTGCCTATGTGGAATCATGGATGCCAAGTTGGTAAGAACAAGGTTCACTGACCAGTTTTAGAGGAGGGTGGTTAGAGAGTGCTACTGATATGTCCTACTTCTTTGCTGTCCATCAATTGTTTTTATCAGACATATTGCTTTTTTTCCAACACTTAATGATTATTGTTGTGCTAATGTGCTTCTTTTTAACTTAGGCTAACAGCTGGATATGAAGTATTGTATATATTTAAACTGTCTGTGTATCAATACAAAATATCACAGTAGAGTGTGTAATGCACTGGTATAAGACTTAATGTATTCTGCATGCAATGGTGAAGAGCCTACCCATTGCACCACAGACACTATTTCAACTTACTCACACTGGTAACTATTCTTAATCATGAAAAGGAGGGAAATTTCTTTTAGAAAGGGAAGAAGGGACCGAAGGTAATAAATGAATCAGCTACAGGAGGTGCTACCAATTAAATGGTTAAAATAATTATGATAAATAAGTAAAAAATTTCACTTAAGTTTATGTAAAGCGCATTTCCACTAAGAAAGTGCTGAATGCGCTTTATAATAATACAAAAAACACAAGCACCATATGGCTCCAACAGCAATCCTTTCTCTCCATCTCTCTTTCTCTCTCACTGATCTTCAGAAATATGCAAGCAGCTTGATAATGAAGTTGCTATAACCTGTTTTTTTGTTTCCATGGAAAGGTTTCTATAAAAAGAATTGTAGTATTCTAGATTTGAAAACACATAAGATGAGATGAAGGTTTTAATTGAAATGACACTAAGATATGTTGACATGTGTCTGATTCTGCATTGTTCAAAATAAATTACTTAAATACATAGGTGGTTCATATGACGATAGACTTTCACCTATGAATGACTATGCCTTAAATGACTCCTGTCATGAACAAGAACTGCTGTCTTGAGCACTTATGCACTGAATGTTATGTATGTTGCTTGTTTTTGTGTGGAATTTTAAATTTCTACTTTCTTTATTGCTAACTCACAATAAGTTTCAGAGGGTTTTTTCCCTTCATAATGACATCTTAATTCTAGTAGAATATAAAGATCCTACAAAAGAAACTAAATCTTTTCCTCAGTTGCTCTAAACTACCAGACAGGGGGAGAGGCGATGCAGCTCAATCACGGCAGGTTCATGGATAATGGAGGAGTCGGATACGTTCTTAAGCCTGCTTTTCTAATGTCAGGTCAGTCTTCTTTCTCAGGCCACAGCTCTTCTTTTTCTATTACCTTTTTGTTTCCACTTCTCTTCTATTTCCACAATTTTTCTTTTCCACATAATGTTTCTATTCACATAACTTTTTTAAAAACTTTTTTTCTCTCCATAGCTTTTCTTTTTTCTTCTTTTCTACAACTGTTCACCTTCCACCATTTTTCTTTACCTCTTCCTTTCCACAACTGTTTTATTCTGACTACTATCTCTCTTCTTTTTCCACAACCCTTCTGATGAACTTTGTTGTCTACAACTCTTCTTTTTCAACAACTCTGTTTATACCACCGATACTTCCATTTCCACAATTTTTCTTTTTCAGTCAGTGTTTTGCTGTGAACCCCTCAAAGAATCATTATACCCAACTGTTAGTGATAATAGTATCAATACATGTATTGGTAAACGTATTGATAAGCGTATTGGTGGACACAGACGAAGAGGAAGCTTCAGAGCAAGAGAAAGACACATCTTTCTATGTGAAAAAACAGCAGTTCCAAATGTGTACCTTGCAAATGTCTGCCTCAGATCATTGCAATGCATTTCCATGTTTTCAACTTTCAAAATATCTTTCTAATGAAGTTATGCTTGGGAATTTTGTAAGGCATAATCTTATTTCTTTTACCAGTTACCAGATGCATTCTATAACATTTTTGACTCTTTGATTGTATTCATTGACCCCTTTGGGAAAAGATTTTTCTTTTTACGATCATGCGATCATGTGCTCAGCTCAGGGAATGTCCAGCAAGACTGTGGTTCAGATAACTCTTGTCTGAATATCCAACAGGGTTTTCCAGCAGCAGTTGGTTTACTTAGGCCTAAGGAATTTGCATTTCTCTCCATTTTTATTGGAGCCTAATGCTAAATAGGAGGCCCTGCTTCTTAGGATATTATCTTTCTGTTGTTAAAAATATTGAGCTCATACCTAAGCATCTTACATTAAAGCCATGTCAAAGTGGTGGGATTATTTTTCACCAACAATATGACCGATGACCATTGCGTTTCTTTATTTCACAGAGGACTTGTTTCCCCTTGTCACTGAAAATGTCAGCCGTAGTGTGAGCAAAGTTCTCAAGATTACAGTGAGTGAACAAGTTATTATATTCTACTAATTGTCTACTTACATATCCTTTGAAAATTGTCCCTCATTTTGTAATTGTAGATGTTTTCTGTCATAGCAATTTACTATTTAGATCTTATAGAATGTTGGCTGCTTTAATTCACATGAGACTATTCCCCTGTATATATACGGATCTCCGATGAATTTCTGTTACAAGCTACGGGAGACAGCAAGCCAACAGTTGACCCGCTTGTTTCATTTCATTAAAAATGTGGTGAAGTTATGTGAGATACTTTTTTAGCTGTAACGGAATAAGTCAGTCTCCCCTGCTTTGCGACAGATGATTTTATTTTAAATTGGGCAAAGAAAAAATTGCGTAACCCCTAGACATTGCCATTGCAAAATATAGATAAAATTAAAACTGTTCGGACAAATTAGTTGCAATTTTCTTTTTCTATGAGAGCATGTTCTTTCTTTCTCTTTTTTTCTTTTTTCTTATTACGATAGCTTTCACAGTCTCTTTGTGGTTAATGCTTCAGTACTCCCCAAAAATGTTAGGCTGCGGTGGTTGTTGGGTGGAATATAACTCAAGCTCAAGTAAGTTAATTCTGCCTGTCAGGGCCGACCTGGGCTGAGAAGAAGACAACATCCCAACAGACAGACAGAGGAAGATACTCGATAAAAAAGACTTCCCCAAACGAGAATCAAACTCATGCCTTCTGCATGCACAGCAAAGCCCCTTTGTTGCTTCACCACAGATGTGGGTGAAATTAGATGATATGACAAACCAACACCACTATCAAATAGGACCAAATGTTTTTGGCTGTGTATGTTTTATAGTTTAAAATGGCCTTTTATCACTCCCCCCCCCCTCCCCTCCCCCCAAAAAAAGTTTAATCCACAAATTGCAGCAAATCTTTTAACGCTTTGCAGCCACCTGCCACAATAATATTACTGTGAAAATTATCTGTACCGGTCACATGACGCAGTTCTGCGACAGGCACTGGAAGTCCATTGCAGTCACTCTCCTGGCTGGGTGACCAGATGGGGTATTTTGTATTGCTGGCTGTGAGACTGCAAAGTGTTAAACAAGTTATGTTGGATTTAGTATTCAAAATATCTGTACGTACATTGCTGTGGAGAGGATCTTGTGGGGCATTTATTGTATTAGTACAGCTGGTTGCTTACCATTGGTCTGCTGCCACTCACTTCAATATTACAACCGGAAAGAATGCTTAGATCTTCATCTGTTGCATATGACATACATAATACTGCACACCGCTAACATGAAGAACAGCGAAAGCCACTGAAGTGGTTTACTGAAATCCTCTAGTACGTAGCTGTTAAGGCTAAGTGAGTCTCATCCACTGTGACTGAGGTATGGGCCCCCTGATGTCATGCTAGAACACCAGTCTATTCAACAGGTTGTACAGGTTTACATGATACCAATAGCAGTGATTGATTTTCTTTGACCTTAGTGGAAGAGGGATTAGATCAGGGGATTTTGGAATGAGTCAAGTGAAAATGTTTGGGTTTTTCTCCCCAGATCATCAGCGGCTACCAAATACCAAAGCCGAATGATAGTACCAAAGGAGAAATCATTGATCCATTTGTCAAGGTTGAAATCTATGGTGTTCCTTCAGATGTTGCTGAATATAAAACAAAAGTGATGGAGAATAATGGTAAGGTTTATTCCTGCTTGTGCAGTCCTCAAATAAACTTGTTATTAACAAATACGGTATCATTGTAAAATGAAGAGTACATTTTTATAGTATTGTTTTATCTTTGTCTAAGAATGTTATCAATTTTTAGAAGAGAAAATGCCACTTTTGACACCTTTATTTTTTGTGTCCTTAAGTAAATGTTTTTCAGTCTAAATAATTATCCTTATTGTCTTCAGGATCCCAAAAATAATATATCAGTTGCTTTCATAGAATGAGCTGAGGACTTTCCCTTTCCCTATAGCTATAGAATGGTTCACTGATTCTCGAATGTTAAGAACCCCCCCCCCCCCAAAAAAAAAGAAGTTCTGTGATGACAGGTTTCATATTGTCCCTAGTGTCGAAAAACTTTTCTTTTTACATTCGAACATTGAGAGAAAATTTTTTTAACCTGATGAAAGTTGCCAAAAATAGGATTGATATAAAAGATAAAACTAACACAAACCACTGATGTCAAATGAGACATGATGTAAGTCAACAACAGTGTTCAGACAAAATGCTGAAGCTCAACCAACATTCCGAGCGTTTATCTGGCAGTGAAGAGTTAACTTTTACAAGTTGTATGCCTACTTCCTATTTTGTAGCAGCAAGTTAAGTTGAAAATATGCAAGTATTAGCATTTTCTTTATAAAAGGACAGATTAATTACAAGCTTGTATTTACCAACCAAAATATGAAGAAAATAATTTAACTTTTTATTAGGTACAGTGCTGTGCAAGCAAGCAAACGTTTATGACAAATGAGGAAAACAAGCAGAGACAAGAATATGGCATCTAGTCAGTTGTTGTATCAACTTCTAAGAGTTAAGGGAGTTCATCATGAAGGTGGGATCTGTTTAAATTGTATTATTTAGTACCAAACAGAGTAACAGCATTTGTCTTTTTTAAAATTATTCTAGGGTGGGCAACTGTAATAGACAATGTTTTTATTTTTCAGGGTTCAATCCAAGATGGCGAGAAACTTGTTCCTTCAAAATCCGTGTTCCTGAGTTAGCATTAGTGCGGTTCACAGTGACGGACCACGACAGAACTCGGGACGACTTCATCGGTTACTACTGCTTACCAGTACTCAGCATTCAAGATGGTAGGTTCTTCTTTATTTTTGCACCTACTGTTCAGTTAGGTACAAGTTAAGACAACTCTTACACTGAAAAGAAGTTAAAGAAGCCGAACACACAGAAACATCCACCTACCACCCAAGCACAAAACAGTCAAGCCTGCTTTAACAACCACCCGTCCAAGATACTCTCCAGTATAATTGACCACTTATCACTTCCTGCCTTGCGTTTTTCCTGATAATGACACTGTCCAAAACATCCACCTAAAGCAACCACTACTCTCTTCAGCAATGGACGGCTATCTTGGACAATTTCAACTGTAGTAGTGATGACATGAATAAGGATTTGCTTTTAGGGTCCTCAAGTCTTTTCATCAACAAGTGCTGAAAAAAGGGAATGATGAGTATAAGAGAAAGAGAAAGTCTCTCTGCAAGATGGGTGGATATTAGTTTTGTTGGCATTGTTAGCCAGCCTCCGAGCTGGCGAAGCTTGACAAGATACAAACTGGGTTTTAGTTCTGGCCTGCCAAGATTTCTCAAAGTGTACTTGAAACATGATAGAAAGTTGATTAAATTTCACAGTATTTGTTTCATCTCTAACTCTGACTGTAGAAACGTACCTGTATTGTATTCTAAATTTTTACATAAAACATGTTTTACTTTGTCTTGATAGATAGCATGTAAAAAATGGTTCACTTCTGGTCGTTAATAAGCAACGTTTTTTTCTTTGTCTCTGTTAATTTATTAATTCTAAATCTTAGCTGATTAACACTACATATAACTCATTTCAGGTAAGCGGTGAGCCAAATTTGAAATCTGGATGAGTAGAATAAAAACATTTCATCCTCTTTTTGTTTATGTTGTGAGCTTTGCCATAGATGTGAATCAGACCTTAAAAAACATTGCCATGTGCACTTTACAGACTGAACATTGTTAAAAAGAAAATCTGTGCTGGAAATATGCTAATTTTTTTTACAACTCCAGTAAGCAAGAAAAAGGTTCTTCATCTCAGGAAGATGTACCTTTAGGTACGACACTTCCTAGAAAATTATTTCCTGAAAAAACACAAGGAGGTTATTGTAATTTTATAGTCTCAAAGTCCAATATTACGGGAATTTTTTAAAAGCCACAGATAAATCAATCACATCGTAGATTGACAATTGTGTTTGACACCTCCAATATTCAGTTTAATGGTATTACAAAACATTAAAGAGATATCGGTCAGGGAAAGGCAAATTGTACAAGCTATCTGTGACTCTAATTTAAGTTTTCCATGTTGGTATTATCTGTACCCGCCTGTATTCTTAACACCTTGCTTTATCTTTTTCATGAATGGTTTACCAACAAGTTTTCTTGTCTCTGTTTTCAGGTTTTAGACATTTTCCCTTGTTTGACAAGTACGGCAACCAGTTCAGCCAAACATTGATATTTACCCACGTAACACTGACCAATGCCTGAGGTGGATGAGGGCATCTAGAGATCAACTCGTGGTGCTGATGTCAGTCACTTTCGAGGAAAAGGACCAAATGCATCTGTCGCAGCACACCCAACTTCTAGTAGAAATAGGTTGTTCTTGTCAGGAGAGAAACATAAATATGTGTCAGAGATGATAGTGAAGATCTTTTTTTGTCCACGTCGTATCACTTTGTGCTTCTTCATTTCTAGTTTCTTCTCCTCATTACGTTGTTGATGTTTACACAACGTATTGAAAATTCCTTCTGAATTTAGAGCTATAAGAAAAAAAGTATACTCTTTTCCAGGTACCCTACTCTTGTATTCACAACATCATATAAACAGACTCATCAGTGCTGTAATATAGCATCTATTGAAAAAAGCTAACTGAGAATAGCTACTGATACTAGAGCAGTACTCTAGTAGCACTCTAAAACCCCCTTAGTGTTTGCATCAGTAGCAGAGTTCCATTAGTCTTCATTTGTGTGAACCTTGGACCAGCCAGAGCAGTCAGCTTTAGGGGACATTTTGAGAAGATCCACGTGTTTGACTTCTCCAGGACAGCACATGTTAGCATATTATTTTATACTATTTTTAAATGTCTGTGCATATGTGTACATACTTACATGAATTCACTCACGTACATAATGTTTCTATTCTATGTGTAGAAACGCATATTATTTTAATACATCTTCTTTTCTATAATATTCTCTCCTGCTTGTGTGTCATTGTCAATGAAACAAAGCAGATATGTTTTTAGTGAAGCAAAATGCTACCTGAAAGTGAAATGCTTCCGACCATGCTGACTCTTCAACTTCAATTGTCTTTTCTTTTTTTCTCTTTTATCTTTAAATGATACTCCCATTTTTATTTTTCTCACATGTCAGAATTTAATAAAGGACCCTTGTAAAGTTAGTTTTCCATTTTGTTAGACCAGTTATTTTACCTGTCCTCCGTCTTGACCTTTTGCAATATACGTGTTAGTATTCTTCGTAATTAAGTACCGGAGTGGTAAATACATAGAGTGCAGATTATATGCTGAGGTAAAATCGTATGTGTAAAAGAATAGTCTTTTTCTGCTCAGGAGTGATTTTACTACATTTTCTTTCCTTTGCTTGAGGACCTGAGTGTACTTGTGCTTTCAAGTTTACTCTTTCAAATATCACATCATGTCATGTTACTGCGATTATGATTATGTTCTAGCTGATACAGTGCATTTTGTTCCCGTTATCCAGTACTGGTACTGTACTTCTTTGTCAGCATTTATCATAATATTATCTGCTTCACGTGAAAGCTTTTCCTTTTACCTACTTGCTGCATTCATGAACATTGAATTTTTCTGTTAGCTTTGTGAATGTCTTTAGAATGCGGAAAAAAAAAGTTCTTTACTACTTAGTAAAGCAATTCACAGAAGCACTTTCATTTACAATCCAAAAGTAGGCCTACTTTTTTTATCCTTTTTATTTGAGCTTTTGAACACAATAAAGTTAATCATATTAATTATTGCGTATCCAGCAATCGGTATGATAAGCTTTGGTTTAGTAAACAAGCTGAAAGTTTGTTAATTAAGATAAAAGCTCTTTTTCTCAATGGAGGATGAACCGTTTACATTTTCAACAATGCTGTGCTTTGAAATAACCTGGCGGTGCATGAGATAATGACTTTTCAATATAGGGATGTAGTATATAGTTTACTAAATAATGTTTATTTAGATCAGAACTTACATTAGTTTAGATTAATACATGCTTCTGCAGTTAAATTCATGTGTTTGTATGTTTCCTTAGATTTAGTTAGATCACTTCATGTATGTTTATTTCAGATCAATACATATGTACATGTGTGTTTGTTTAGATGAAAACAACTTCATGTGTGTTTGTTCAATTCTGCTGGCAGCTGACCATTATGCAGTTTGAAAAATAACAACATTTTTCTACTTACATTTTATCACATTTTCTTTGATCTGGTAAATTTTTTTTCCACATCTGATAGTATTAATACTATCTTACATTGCTCACTGTTCATTAATCCTGAGCAGTGAAATTTTTAAATTGTTTTTTATCATGCACTGTGAAGAAACACCTCATTTGATGAGTCTACTCTTATCTCTTTTTTCCTTTGAGCTTTAAATATCTCTGTGATCCTTGTTCCCATTGTTTGGGATGGCCACTCACCAAATGTCGATATATTTGCCTTCTCTTGTGGAACGGAACGAGCTAGTGGTTATTCAGAATTATTCTGAAAGACAAATGAAAGTACACATACATGTATTTTAAGAAATATTGAAGCAAAGAAAACGGAGAAGCAGCACTTCTGTATTTGTGGGGCACTTTGCCCCGATTGCCGCTTGTTTGTCTTGTCATTGTTTCATTATGCAGTTGTCTTTACAGTGACTGGGGACCATTCTTGGTTTTATCTTATGTGTTGTGAGAGGTGAAATGGGGGGGGGGGGGGGGGGGGGGAATCAAAGCTACATTCCCACTTTGGGTTTGGGGTATATGCAAAATTGAAGGATGTGCAGAATTATGCAAGGCTTAGGCCTATATATAATATGTTATTTACAAAAGCAAGTCATTTGAGAACTTGAAAGCCACTTTCCACTTTACATGTATTAATGTAACTTTCTCATCTTGATAATAAACAATGAAATTAGAACATTATTCTTTGAAACCTATAATATAATCATTTCTATCTTTCTAAGATAAGAACGTGGTTTTGTGTTGTGTATGTCCAGCAATCATTAGCTACATGTATAGATCTATGTGTGTATAAATATATATATTTTATATATATATATATATATATATATATATATATATATATATATATATATATATATATATATATATATATAATACACACACACAGAGGACAGTTTTACTTGAAATCAAAATCCCTTCACATAAACACTTCTGAGGGAAATCAGAATTAGGCAAGTTTACCCTTTGATCGTGTTTCTCTTGTACACCCAGGAACAGATGCAAGCCAAGACTTTGGGTTAAACAGCCTATCATCCAAGTTTATTGGGTTGAGGTTCAACCCTAGAAAATCAACGGTCCCAAAGATAGGTGCACCACAAAAAGAGCAAACCACAATAAAGTGAAAAGTACCCAAAGACATTGAATCCTTCTGCTATCCTGGAAGTATAATGACAGAGAAAGGGGAAAAGGAAGAGGAGCTGAAATCAAGTCCTGCATCAAAGAGGCACAGGCTTCTTACACAATTTCACATCTTTGAACTTTGAACAGTATTTGGAGGACCAGGTATACAATACAATATTAAAATGTATATCATTTGGAACAAAGCAGAGGATTTTCAACTCATATGTGAAGTCGGTTTTGATATGTGCATTTGAAACATGGAACGCATCTCCTCAGTCTTGCATTACTAGGATCCAGGTTTTCTTCTACATGTGTCCGAGAAAGTTACTCAGGATCAAAATAAATAGGTCACCAGTGTGGAAGTATAAAGGGGAACAAGACAGAGCCCAATCAGAGATGTGGGGAGAAGACGTTGACTGGTGCTGATGGATTGGACATACCTTCAGGAAGCCAGACAGCTGCTTTTACTTTTACCAAATAAAAGTGTTGGATTGGAATCCACAGGGTAAAAAAGGGTCCAGGAAATGGTCATGTGAAACTTGAAGAAGAGTCATAAAGAATGACGTACAGATTAATGAAAAGACAAGGGATTGAACGAGAGATGGGGAATTGTAGGAAGTGTCTGTAAATGGCCTATACCCTGATCCATGGTGTGAAAGGCAATGATGATGAATTACCGGTACTCTCCAAGCAAATGTTCCAGTTCAGGGACTTCAGCCAGCATCAATGGTAGCCCGGTCAGGATGTAAGTTACCAAGGCCATGGTAATTTCTTTTCATCTGTATTTTTGTGGGGGGGTTTTGGATTTGGTTTCTGTCACAAGTGCTTTAAATTATTCTTTCTTCTTGTAGTGCACGTGTAGTGAACATTTTGTACTTGAGCCAAAGATTCTCTATTACGAGTAGAAAATCTTTGCTTGAGCTGTTACTGTTTATTTCTCCTTTGAATCGTGTATACAGTACCGGCATCTGTGGTGTAGCAGTTAGACGTTTCGCTGCCGTAAGCACGAGAAGGGAGTTCAATTCCCGAGTGGGTGAATTTTTATCAAATATTTCAGTCTTTCTGCTTAGGTGTTATATTACATTCCTCTTGGTCCGTGTTTGCCTTGACAGCAGGCAAAATCAGAAGCCAGCCTCCTAAATTACCTAAATTGTGTCGATGGGTTCATATAAACACCTCCGTTTAATGTACACAATGTACAGATCAAGACAATGTATGTGAGCATTCTTTTCTTCCTATGATCTCATTAACTGCTGCCATAAAATGTGGCCCAGTCTGTCTAATTAGGAAAACTGTTTAACTGTTTCATTCCCTATGCAAAAATTGTGACATTTCCGCAGTTAACTTTGTTAAAGTAGCAGTGTCAAGTTAAACCACCTCCCTAGTGGTCACACCACTCAACATTTTAAAACTTAATGTGTAACCCAACATTACTGAACTTTTTGGCACAAGGGGTAATTAACACATAATATACATCATGTATTAAGTATAATGTGATCCGAGCAGAAGAAAAGGGCATTGTCACAACATAGAAATAGTGATGATATATTGATATAGAATCTATATCAATTTTTAATTTAATTTTTCATTTCTGTTTGACAGCGGTAGATTATTTTTGTTTGATTTTTAATTCAATGAAGTGGTACTGTAAACCAGTTGTCAAACAAAAATGAAGTAAGGAGTCTTCAACTACTACTACTTGACTACTACAAGCTTTTAAAATTGATATCCTCATGATTTCCATTTTGTAACTTCTCCCATTTTACCCGTGGTTCCTCTTATATGGTTAACTGAAATCTATGACTATGCTGATGCACAGAGAGAAAAGATAACGTCAAAATGTTTGGTCATTCATAATACGGTAAAGAAGATGGTAGTACAATGTGCATGCTCTATTTCTATTATACTTATGTTGTCAGTTAATTCAATTGTGCATTTAACATGACCGTGTTGCGGAATTTTCCTCAATTCTTTTTGTACAAAGTTATGGAGTTTTGTTTATTGAATTGCGCCTTTTCTTTCACTTGTGTCTGCCATGCCAGTTTGTTAAAGCAACAAGACAAGGCCACATGGCAATATGCATAATCTAAACTGCAGTGCAACATGCTGGGTATAATTAATTCTGTATCGCACACTTCTCTCCGATGTCAGCACATTTGTGCACAATAAATGATTACGTGTACTGAAATTGAAATATAACGTGTACATATACTGTGAATTTTGTTCAACCAAACTCAGTATCTTGGACATGACAAAAAAGCAAAAGTGCAAAGTGTCATTGATTTAGATAGACACAAAGATGCAATCTTGGAGCATGTATAGTCCAAGTGCATTTTTGTTTTGTTGTTCGTGGAGAATAAGAAAAAGTTGTCGGTCTATTATTACATTATTATTATAAGATTTAGTCCAGGTGCAATTTAGTAAAAATGCGTGTGGGTCTGGTGTATGTCAGAATGAATAAATATTGTCAGCCCAGTTGCTGCCTGTGAACATAGGTACATCTAAATACACTTCTTGCTCACAGCGTACAAGCTTGGAGGTTTAAGTAATTTAAGATTGTCTGTTGTCTATAAACAGATCATTGGTCAAGAGGATGAAGTAACTTCAGACTTGTTCATGTTTACTCTCCTGTACAGTTTGAAATAGGCTGTGGCTGAAATGAGAAAGTAAAGCCGGTCCAGTATTTTACCAGCCAAGGCTGATACGTTAGTGCATTGTGATACTGGTACTGTTGTCAGAGGATTAACTTACTGAATGTTGAAAGGAGGCCTCTGGTTTGGGGGCTTCCTCTGTTCAAGACTCATGCCTTGTGCCTAGTATGTCTACATCATGCAAACGGTACGGAACAATAACTTATTTCTTTTACCTTTAGTCCATGCACATTTGTGATCACAACATGAATTTCTGTCAAATCAAGCTTTGCACATTACACACGATGTTCCCAGTGTCTTGGGCAGATTCCACATCATTACTGAATGTAAAAGTATCTATGAATGAAAAACAACTATTCCTAATGGCCATACTTTCATTACTGTAGAATGTACCAGAAATGTAATAATAGTAGGTCCTATATTGTATTATTCCATGTGTTCGGAGATCAAAAGCAAGAGCCTATACAGTATAAATGTCTTGAGAATAGTTTCGACATTTACCACTGATAAATGTTTCATGATACATTTCTCTTTTTGAACAAGAGTTTTTCACTACATTTTACTAGCAAATTTTTCCTCCTCTTTTTTGTTGCTTGTTTATTTATAATTTATTGGCTTTGTGACATTGACAACTACATTTCCTATGCATTAATACTGCTGCATTAGTATCATTCATGACTTCCAAAGTAAATACTACATGGAAATATAGATAGCTTTGAAATATACGTACAATTATTAATGTGCTAGGATGTGAAGACTTCAAATATAAATATATACAGTACTCATAAACATTTATGTATACAATCTCAAATCATTTTTACTTCACCATTGTGATTACTGCAATGTTCACACGTTTCATAAAATACTTTTTCAATGACTTCTATAGCTCTGTAGCGATTTATGTATGACGATTAAAGAATGAACGTTTTATATCTCTTGAAATAATGGGATGAAATCTGCTTTGGTGTTATAATTGATTACAAAGTCAGCTGTTCTCATTTGTACTAACTGAACCCTTCTACACCCTACCAGTTTCATTCTCATGAGTTCAAAAGAATCTTAGAATTCCACAGCACACCCACCTAAGCAATTTGTGTTTTAAAAGCCCCTTAATGTAAAAGTTAAGGAGGAAAAATGGGCAGTCACAAAACAAAATTCGAGGGGGAAAAAATCAGTTTTACATCAATTCTGTTCAACTGTTGGTTTATTATTTTCCTTAGTTAAATAGGAAACCTGACAAAAATAATATATATTTTAAACCAGTGGTCAAACAAAAATGAAATTATGAATTTAAAATTGATATTCTCACACTTTGTGACCTAGCCCTTTTTTTCGCATAGACTCCTCAATAAATTATCCTTCTCAGTCCTGGTTCTTACACTCTATGACTATGTTTAAGTGTCCCAAGAGGAGCAATAATGGACATGAAGTCTGTTATTTTTCAGAATCTGATTTAAGGAACGTTTGTTTAAAAAATGTAGTCAACCCTCTAGGAGTAATCAACCATAAATTTATGGCTGTGGTGTCATAGCAGATTTAGATTTAATTGTTGGTAATAGGAGCTGTCTTCTTGGATCCTTTCCAACACCTTTTCAACCATCAAATCAGACCACTTCACTGCACAAGGGTTTTACTTCTAGTTCCACGGAGGCAAAAGAAAGGACTGCAACAACCCCTGTGTGCCCCACACATGACAAAACCTGTAATTTATTGCCATCTTCATTCTCAAGTTCTATCCACACTTAAATTATCTGATCTGAGCATGGGTCATCAGTTATGAATGACTAATAGTCTTTAAAAATGCCTTTACTTGGTCACTTTCCATTGAAGAAAGTAAAGCTAAGGAGAGTGAGAATGGAAGTCAAGAAGAAAATTCACATTATATTCAAGATACTGTTATATCGAGAGGGAGGGGACTGGTGCGAAAAACCCGTTTTAGCAGGATTCTTGTTATAAGGGATCCAGTGATCAATTCAAGGGAAACAATAAAGTAGGCCTAATCTTTGAGTTTGGGGTTCTGTTTACATATGTACAGTGGAAACCTGATATAACAGGGATGTGGGAGTAGAGAAAAAGTCCTGTTTTATCCGATCCCTGTTAAATCAGAAATGCAAGGAAAGTAAGCATTTGTGGACTAATCCAGTTATTCATGGGTAGTTTCCCTTGCCACAAGTACCCACGAACAGGCGTTTTGGCACCAACTTTCTCCTTGACTCCTTAAACCACCCCAGAAGAGCTTGGTCCACAGCATCTGCATCGGGTAGTCTCATCTCCTTTCGTCTAGAGCAAACTTTCCTTTGGAGTATGCTGCCACTATCTTCTCTCTATCCTTGATAATGGTGTGAATCGACCCTTGTGGAATGTTGAACTGACGACAAATCTCTGCCAGTGAAGCTTGCTTTTTGTCAACAGCCTGGATTATTTCGTATATTTTGTCTATTGAAAGGCATTTTCTCTTGCGTTTGACATCGTTGGTCGCCATAATGAAAGAAATAGGCTTAGATCTAGGCCGACCGGACGTCCACAGAGTGTGTTAAGCTTAGATCTACACATACAGTGAAACTCGGATTTAACGAGCTCGGATTCAACGAGAACTCGAATTCAATGAGATGAGATAGATTCCCCGGTTGTTGTTTTTTAATCAATAAAAATAACCCGGATTCAACGAGCACTTAAATCAGCGAGCTCAGATTCAACGAGGTCGCTTCCAGAATGAACAGCTCCCGCAGACGCGGCTTCGCTCATTTTTCTTCCAGAACGAACTTTATCTATTCCTGGAAACCATCCATTGCACCTGCTTCGTGAACCATTATTCAATTAACCGATTGCATGCGACCAATCAGCGGCTTTTTTTTCATACCAACACATGCGTTGTTGGCACGCACACGTGTCTACTCTAGCGTGTGTCGGGGTCGGATAGGCAGCCTGCACACGTGTGACTGTGAGTGCATGTCGGGGAGGGGGGGCACTAGCAGTCCGGGCGATGAACATCGCAGATACAAACGCGTCACAGTCTTTTTCCCCCTCGGCAACTGATCATTATTACAATGATAGTCTTGACGTAGATATCTACGAAATGAATTGTGCGCTGGTCTATGGAATCAAAAGTTGTCGTATGCTAGGCTCTACACATCAACACAACTTTTTTGGTAAACAATCGAGATGACACAGGCGTGTGCATTTGAACGAATAGGTCTTTTATTTTTACACGCTCATAATATGCAGGCATTTTAGGCTCTGCTTGTGACTTCTCTTTATACATTACTTGCTCAGTGCCTGTAATTATCTACACAAAACCTTGTTTGCTATAACGAGCACTCGGATTCAACGAGATTTTAGGTCAGGCCCGGCGACCTCGTTGAATCCGAGTTCCACTGTACTGTTGTTAGTGAACAGTCAAAGTGTGGTGTGGTGCATGCGTGCGTGTTGCTAGGTTTCGAGCTAGATCAAGATCTGCAAGCACACCGCAGCCCTCTCTCGCTTCACACGCTTGCAGTGGCATGGCTTGCATAGGCTTGCTCCATCACTGCATTACTGTCTGTCCGTCTCTCTCTCTTACTTTTTACACATTGTTAACGAGCCTTTGTCTCTGCTATAACCGCTTGGGCTCCGATGAGGCCCTGTTATTGCCGATAACTTTTCATAGAGACAAAGAGTAGGAAAAAAACGGTGATTAAAAAAATCCCTGTTATTACCGGATCCCTGTTATTGTTATTACCGAGCCTGTTATATATGGTTTCCACTGTATTCTTTTTCACAGCACTGTGACCTCTCCATTCGGGCATCGGAAAAGTGAGAGGCATGGTAGGCCTATATAATCTATACTAGGCTGGCCTATCACGTGATGCGTCAGCACATGTCACACCCTCCCCACTCATTCGCTCCGGCCTTCACTGTTGGCAAACATGGGCTCTCCAATTCTTTGTTTTACTAGATCACCAACAAGTGTCTCAACTGGCGAGGTTTTACATGTATTGGCCTATGTGCTGTGCACTGCAGCAGCAATATTTTGCTATAACCGACTTGCGTGTTTGTCGGATATATATATTACTTACAAAGATAAAGAAGGAAACAGGTTTTAAAATAGTGTCTTTACAACAGACTTCTCGTTATTTCAGGACTCGTTAAAAGTGGACTCCACTTTACTAGACAAAGCCAAACCTTTTGACTTTAAATGAAGAACCATCTGAAAGAACTATAATTAGGCCTATAAGACAAATTCGATATTGAATAAGACACACAAGAGGCCCAAAAACACACGAGTAGGAAAACAATCAGTTTATTAGAAATCCTCAAATTCAAAAGTCAGCCTCACCAGTCAAATGTCTCTCAAAAAAATAAGACCTAGGAGGACTTCAAAGCACCTTGCAAAGGATTCCTTTCCCCCCTGCCTCATAAAAACGTAACCATTTTCCAGCTCCTCGTGTCAGGGTTGCCTTCATGAAAACAATAGCTTGTATCGAGCTTATTACAGAGGCAAAATTTCCCCCCTTTATCTAGAGTGTGGACATAATAAAGGTCTTGCTAAACTTACGACTTGGTGAACCCAGAGTCATTCTTCTAATCTACTATGGACCTACTTTTAAGGAAAAATTATTCACTCCTGTAAACGTACTCTAAACTTAGAGATAATGTATTAAATAAATATATCTATAGATAACAGAAAGTGAATTTTGACAGATTCATTTGGGGGACAGGGAAACTCGCTATCACGCTTCACAACTCTAGAATGTAAACACAAAGTGCACATGTGAGAGAAAAGGAGGAACAGTTTGTCATAAATGACAGTCCTTCACAGTAAAGGGACAACAAGCTGTTTACAGGTATTCATTTCAGCTGCAAAAAAAATATGAATCGAAATAACAAAGGCAAAGAGTTCAAGGAAAGAAAGCGGACATAGAGCAAAGAGAAAAGACAGAAGCACAACCTACTGGCCTCTTATCTCACACACATACACACACACCCAACCCCCTTCCCCCAGCTGCAGTGAGAAAATAAATAAAATGTGTGCCCTTGAGAATACCCTTTCGACACAAACAGTGCTTCATTTTGTGTATACATTCCACAGAATTCCAAATCAACACAAGGCATACAACCAAACATTCGCTTTATTATGAGGTTTGATCTTCACTAAACAATGTATAAAGTAAAAATCACCAAAGCAACACGTCTTCTTATCCCCAAAGGTATCGTTAGTGGTTCTCAGTTTACTACAGGTTACAAAAGCCCGAAAAAATGTCACTCCTTCGTCAAAATTCATAAGTATCTTTTAACTAACTGCAAGGTTCCAACAGAAGTGAAAAAACAATACAACATAATTCAATGAAGAACAGATCAATTGTTTCAACTAAAAGGCTGACAAATTCTCAAACGCACACACAGACAAACATCACAATTCTATGTACAGGTATGAATGACCAAGTTGAATAGCTTATCACATAATATATACCAAAGTGGCTGGGCTTGTGGGGTGGGGTTGGGGCTCTCAGTGTCCTGTTATTTCTCTGTTACAAAAGGTTCTGGGATGGACCATGAAGTGGAGACATTTGCCTATTTCTCTTCACACCACTCATTCTCTTTGCGCACCTGAAATACAAAAAGGGAAACACATAAGACATGCGCAGAAAGAAACAAACCACAAAATACTATAGACATAATCTATAATACCCTAGACTGCTCACTCTGAATAATTTCCAAAAAACAGTAAGGAGTGCGCCACTTTACCCAAATGAGGGGTAAGAGAGGTCCACACAACTGGTACTGCTAAAAGTATCATAAAGTTCGGGTTACAGAGTTTGAATGCACCTGATTATATAAAAGCCGCACCCACTGACTTTTATTTTAATCTGAACTTTTTTCACAAAAAAGTCACACTGGTTTACAAGCCCCAGCAGATTTCGTGTATTGATTTTTAGAGTGACCTCGGTTGAACAGGAACGGGGAGCGTATGGTATTAAATACTGCAATCTGATTCGTCGATATTTCAAGATGAGAAGACGCTCTTTCCGGTGATATATTTCTAAAGACTGTCCTTAAAGAATTAATAGAAGAGATTTGAGTGTGAAAACTTTCGGAGCTATTTTTTTATGGACCCAGTGATCGGACTGACTACGGAAATATATCGGGCAGAAATCCCATTCATTGAATTCCTCTTCAAGAATAACACAGCCATTATACGCAAATAAACACTGGACGCTCCCCGTTCGCTCACAAGCAGGGCACCATCGTCCCGGTTTCGTATAAATTCTCTCTCCTTCCCTTCAGCGCTGCCCGCCGCGCAGCCGATAAGCCGGCGGTCGCGAGTGCTGATTTTAACCTCCCCTTGTATTTCTTGCCGTTTTGGTCAAAAAGCCATGTTTATGTCAATAAATTTCCATCTTCTGGTTATTTGATAGCCTTGAAAAAAAATGAGCTTGTTCTCTATGTGCATAGGTGCGTGTCATCAAGGTTTTGTAAATGTCCATTCAAATTTAAGAATGTTGTGACATTTCAAAGTGTAGACATTTCGCAATTAAAAAACTATAACATTTTTCTGCAACTTCAGATGTTCATAACTTTGTTAAAAATGAAGCTATATATGTAGGTACCGCAAACTGACCGTGCGACCCCGTGGTGCACTGTCACGGAGACCAAAACCCATATTTTTACCCTCCTAAAACACCATGTGAACATGCATACACACAGACACTTGATATATCAGAAGAAAGAGGAGCTTTTCCTCTTTTTAGTGGTATTTTTTATTTGAATCAACGATTCTTTTGAAAGCAAAATCTTGCGGGATAAAAGACAACACTATCCAGGTTTTCACCGCAGCGGCCGCGCGTTTCGTGTATTGATTTTTAGAGTGACCTCGGTTGAACAGGAACGGGGAGCGTAAGGTATTAAATACTGCAATCTGATTCGTCGATATTTTAAGAAGAGAAAACGCTCTTTCCGGTGATATATTTCTAAAGACTGTCCTTAAAGAATTAATAGAAGAGATTTGCGTGTGAAAACTTTCAGTGCTGTTTTTTTATGGAACCAGTAACCGGACTGACTATGGAAATATATCGGCAGAAAACACATTCATTCCTCTTCAAGAATAACACATCCATTTATACGCAAATAAACACCGGACGCTCCCCGTCGGCTCGCAAGCAGGGCACCATCGCCCCGGTTTCGTATAAATTCTCTCTCCTTCCCTTCAGCGCGGCCCGCAGCGCAGCCGATAAGCCGGCGGTCGCAAGTGATTTTAACCTCCCCTTGTATTTCTTGCCGTTTTGGTCAAAAAGCCATGTTTACGTCAATAAATTTCCATCTTCTGGTTATTTGATAGCCCTGAAAAAAATTGAGCTTGTTCTCTATGTGCATAGGTGTGTGTCTACAAGATTTTGTGAATGTCCATTCAAATTTAAGAATGTTGTGACATCTCAAAGTGTAGACATTTCGCAATTAATTTACTGTAACATTTTTCTGCAACTTCAGATGTTCATAACTTTGTTAAAAAAGAAGCTATATATGTATAAAGTTAGTATCAAAATGCTCAGAATGATAAATTCTATAAGGTAGTGCAGTTAAATATGAAATCAGAGGACTTTGAAATTTCAGTTTGTGGTACGTATATATATGCATAAATTTGGTATCAAAATGCTCAGAATGATAAATTCTATAAGGTAGTGCAGTTAAGAGTACTTTGAAATTTCAGTTTGTGGTACCTATATGTCGTTCATGTTCCAAAGGTTGGATAGATTTTGTCGTGCCTGATTTTTCTAATTGAATTTTTTTCATTCTCAGTTGTCAAATTTTTTTTTACAATTTAGCATTGCCAACTTCAGCGCGTCTAACCAAACAACCTGACAAGTTACAATGTCCATTCTTTTTTGAGTCTCAAGAGCCGAAATTCGTGCTTTGGGTGCATTAAAAGAATTATTACCATAAATACAAGGATACACCTAAAATTATACGTTGAAAAAGTACAAAAAAATACGTCAGCCCCGACGTCAGCGGCGACAGGGAGCTGACCCCCGTGACCCCAAAGTGATAAGGTGCTCGGCGGGGAAATCCCCGCTGCAACTAAAATTCCACTGCTGGTGCGCCGTGAGATGTGCAGGTGTAGTGTATCATCTCTTTTCTCCTTCCTTCACGTTAACCACAGATCTTCCATGAATACAGTTTATTTGTAATTTCACAGGTTTTACACAATATAATTTAGGCGGCAGGCTGCTTCAACATTGCCTGTAAAGGCCAATTCGGGCTGAGAGGGATACAACATTCCAACAGGAAAACTGAAATCCTCCACAAAAATTCTCTCCATAAAGGAATTGATCTCCCATCTTCTTCATGCAATGGTGAATCCTCTAACCACTACACCAGACACCAGTCAAATTATTGGTGTTGAGTTGGGGAAGTAAAAATGCAGCAAAAACATTTACAAAAGTATTCTGAAGTGGTTGCCACCAAACAAGAAAAACTGGGAAACGCCAAACTCACCTGCTCTTCCTCTGCCGGTGTGAAATCATTTTTAATATTGAAGGTCTTTCTGATTTCTTCTGGTGACTTCCCTTTGATCATGTTTGCTACTGTTTTACAAGTGACATCCAGGAGTCCTTTTATATCCAAGTAGTTGGCAGCCTAGACAGAACAGAAAAAAATAATTTATATCAGTGGTCATTATATCAGAACAGAGACATTTAAAAAAAAATATTATTGGTGGTATAAAAAAAAACAGAAAGTCTTGTACTACTGACATCTAAACAGAGAATAGAGAAAGTCTTTTATATCTTAACACTTGAAAGCCAAGATAGAGAATTGAGGAAATGTTATATCTGGGTAGTTGAAAGCTAAAACAGAACTGGGGAGGTATTACACAACCAGATATCTGGAGGTCTGGACAAGGAACGAGAAATCTTTAAGTTATTCGCAAAATCAATTTCACACGACACTCAGGCAAACATGACAATCCAGGGGAATGAAAATATGGGCAAGCCAAGGAAATGCCCCAGAGCTAGGAGTCAACAGAACAGAAAAATGCTATATAATAGGAGGTACAAGGTACACAACTTGGTCAGTAGGACCAACCCACAGAACTTGATAATACTCATGAATAGACGTCAACAAACAAGCCTCCACTCCAAACTCTTTCCTTTCTCGAGGAGGCAACACAGACGAGAACATGCTGTACTACACGGCATTTACTGAGATGATCAGAAGTCTGTCTAAAGACCAAAAAAACCTCAAGAGCAATTTCTTTACCACCCTTCTTTATAACACTGAGTCACAGAAAGATGACAATCAAGCTAACTGTTACTCAGACATGCCTGTGATACATAACTGATGTCAATCTTTCAACAACATTTGTAATGACAATCAACACATGAAGAAATGTCACAAATTTGATTCCCCTTAAAGCAAAAAGATAGAGATGGGTGTGGTTTGAACATTTACAGCACTTGCCACAATTGTCTACTGCTAGAATAGCCCTCCACAAGGACTCCAGATGATATAAAGAGGTAGAGGAAAACCCAGGAACGCTACTCAGTTTTAGTTTTAGTAGAGGTTTTACAACACTCGCAACTGCATAAGGTCAAATGAGTACCAAAGGGTCGATGTCAACAGAGAAGTCCTTACAGGGAATCTGACTTACTCTGCTCACCTCTCTAGGTTCAACAGCACAAAGTCTGCTTCGACTATCAAGGCATCCCGGAAATAGCAGGTCACAAGAATGTGACAAACATACAAAAGAAGTAAAGGAAAATGACGATAGTAAGGAATAGGAAAGAAAAAGCAGCAGTTCTCTGTTGTAGATCAGGCACAGTTATGAGTATGACATTGATGAACCAGCCCATTTACAATTCAACTGTACATGAACAAGAAATGTCCCGCCTTTGAGAATGGCCTAAAGACATTTCAGTCAGTAGCACCGCCCCGGGGGGTAACGCCACTCAAATTTGTGAAAATAACTGAACATTTGAGAAGCTGCATTTGCAAACAACAAGACAATTAATAGTCATGAGTGATATGGACTTTTAACAACAAGGAAAAATGCTAAGAGAATAATAACTTTTTTTCCTACAGGTAACAAAAACAATATAAAAATGGCATCCCTGATGACATAGGGAGACTGTATAGAGAATATACAGGGATGGACTTGGATTTTCCTTGAAAAATTGTTTTCAGACAAAAGAAAATGGTGACCTCTAATGGAGGCCCCTGGAACGCACATCACGGTTTGAACAAGAGTAAGTCTGTCAGACAGTAAACTGAACACTCACCAGGATTAACTCAAATAGAGTACCCTGGTCAACTTTGAGGAACTCTGCATCCCAAGAGCAGATATCATCAGTTCTCTTCTCTTTGTTCTCATCATCCTCAGGGGGTGGGGGGTCATCACGATGGAATGAGCACCACTGGATGACTTTCTTCAGGATCGCCGCATTCACATTGGGCAATGGGACCGGCTCATCTTCATCTTCATCCATTCCAAGATCTGACCAAAAAAACAGCAAAAAAAACTTTATGGTACAATGTAATTGACCCCACTTGAAGTATAGGTTCCAAAAGCAACCAAGCACACAACAAATAACGTATTCAGCTTACAACAAAATCTTCAAACTATATTCAAACAGCTCAAGACAAAAGAACACTTTTGATAATTTCTTTACCTTCCTTCCAGGCAATAAGCTGCAAGGAAGACAACTCCATCCCTAACATCCAATGTCAAAGTTTTAAAAAAACCCAGCTTTGGGCAACAAAAAAAACTCTCCCTCTCATCACTATACCTAAAGACTTGTACAACTGAATGAAAGGGAAGAAAAACACTACATTTTTATGTCCTTTCTAGAAGAACAAGTTAAACAAATTTAAAAGATTTTCCTCCACCTGAGTTGCACTCACTTTATTACTTTACATTTCAGGCTCTAATCTCTTTCACAAATGTGAACAAGGAAAGGAAAAACAAAGACTTAATATTACAAGTCTTAACTTCTATCAGCCAGAATGACACGCTGCATGTCATTTCCATTTACCCTTTTCCGCCAGAATGACAAGCTCGCATGTCATTTTCATATCCCCTAATTAAATCATAAATATTTCCATCAAGACTTCCAAATCCATGTTTTTAATATTGGTTGAGTTTTTTAAAAATAGACAAGGATACTTCTCTTCTTTAAGGGAATTCAAGACTTGAAGGCATATTTTTTGAGTGGTACTATGTCATATCACTGACAAATTTGAATCTCGACTTTGAGTCACTTTCCAAATCAAGTTTGTTGATCAAATTCTTCTGCAATATGCCTGCTTTTTCTGCATCCAATCTCACTATCTGCTTCCCCAATGTTGCTGGCAGTTAGTTTTTTACATGGTAAACAAGGTAGATCATGATCTAAAATGGTGACACAAAAACTTACACAAATTCTAAATGACAGCGCAGGTTTTAATTCAGGCTGTTCATGAAATTTCACGAATTTAATTCTGTCTGATAGCAGACCTGCCACTCTATGAAATCTAAAAATCAGGATCTAGAGAAAAGAATCTGGATCAACGGAAAATCAGTCATAAGGGGCACTGGGGAAGAAGGGGGGGGGGGGGGGGGGGAGGATGGTGGTCCTCGTTCCCTTTTATGAGGCAAGTATGCAAGACAAAGCTTTTTGAAAACTGAAAGACAGCATATGTACTCGAGTCGGAGTTGGATAGACTGGAGGAGCGCAGGTTGCACTAAAGCTGAAACTCTTGTAGTCTTGAAAATAGCAGACACATATCTCTAATCATCCAGGAAAAAAGTCTGCAGTTTCATACAGTAACAACGTTTGACTTCCATCGCATATACACTCAAGGTACCCCCCTCCCCCGAAAAAAAGATCGAGCCAAGGTTGTTCATTTTTTATAAATTATTATTTCTTTCCCCTCAATTAGTACCTGTATCATTAGTACCTGTATCATGGCATGCACTTTAAGCCCAAGTGTCAAAAAATACCCCCCCCCTCCGGTCGTCCACACCGGTTAAGTCCCAAACAACACCTCAACCAATGCGACCGGTGCGAAATGAACTTTGTTGACCCCGACAACTGACGGTGCTCGACACACGCGCTACTCACAGTACAGTCACACGTACGAGGTTATGTCATGTGATGCGAACGAGCGTTTGATAGTTTCATTGACAGGCCTTTATGATGGCCCCGACTAACCAGAACTCAAGAAGAAGCTTGCTTTTAAAGCAACGGCAGAACAACAAATAGATTATTCTTAGGCCCATGTCATAATTGTTACAGTAATAAGGACACCATGGAAGAATTCTGGGTTATAAAAGCGAAAGCAGATCTTGAGCGTATCCAAGTGGGAATTCAAAATGGATACGTCGATTTTAGTTAAAATAACGTGCGTGAGTCAACTACTTAGATTCGGTATAGATGCTTTAGAAAATAGCATTCCAAGTTCTTGCGGATAATAAGTCCAATCGGTGCTTCCAAGCAAAAGAGATTGCAGATCTTTTTATATTTTCTTCTAAGAATCGGACGCAACAGACTCAACCAAAAAAATCAGGATACTGGCGATCGAAATCGGGAAAATCGGGACGCTTGAGATTTGGGGCAAAAAATCGGGATATCCCGATGAAATCAGGATGAATAGCCGGACTGTGATAGGATATAATATACTTTTCAATAATCCAGTCAATTTCTGGGGGAGGGGTGCCTGAAATTGATCAGGACCTTTGTTTAAAACAAAATGAGACTGTCAACATTTAGTTTGTTTTAATACAGAACTTACCTTCCAACATCGTTTTGATTGTGACAGATTGCTTGGCAATCTCAACATCAACTTCAAACACCTCTCCATCAGAACTCTGAAGCTTTATCATCGGCATCTGAAAACAAAAAGAAGACAACAAACTTACGAGACAAATAAAAACTCTACACTGAAAGTGAAAACCTTTTTTTCTACATTCCAATGATTTCTCAACATAGGCCAATAAGCCAATAAGTACTGTCTATTCTCATGAGTGGTAAGTACAGAGAACTGAAACTGATTTTCCTATCAATAGTTATTTGCTACCAAAAAAAGGCTGAGAAGACGAGAGCCCGAACAAAAATGCTCTACATTTCAACACCAGATACACTGGATAATGCAGAACAAGCACTGACACCAGGGCTTGTTTTCTTCTTCTTCGTCTTCTCTGTGTTCTCCTGCTAGATCTCATGCAGATGTAATCAACTGCTAGTTCTTCCACTTGCAGCGCAACAAATACTTACGAATATATATGACCGACCTCCTACTTAGTAGGGCCCCTTACCTTTAGGTAGCTACATTCAGATTTAGATAGTACTTTATGGTTTTAAACCAAGTAGAGAGAGTACTTTCAGTCTTGGCAGGAATTAATTAAATTTTAGGTGCCGGCCGAAGCCTATTCATCGAAATTAGGACCACCAAGAGATCTTTAACATGCGCAACTTGCAAACAGGACCTCAGAGATTTTTCACCCTTATCTGAGAAGGGCAAGTGTTCGATTGTACTTACCCTAAAATCAGGGGTGTGGCTGAAAGACAGCAGTAAGAAAAAGGGGCGAGGAGAAGCAATAGTACAAGTAGAGTAGAAAAAGTCAGAAATGAGACTTGAGCCTAGAGGTCGGGGGAGCAGAAATGGGGAGAGCTGAATAAAGTAATGGTGAAAACATATGATACGGTATATCTAAATAAGAGGAAAGGAGGACATTTGACCTCTTTTAAGCACAAGGGTGCTATCCCGAAAAATGCCGTTTTGAGAAAATTGAAGGTAAAGTTTTTGGACCCTTGTTCAGTTTCTTTAAAAAAACAAGGAGAGTAAAAAAACAAATACATCCACCAATGAAACCAACTTCTCGTATAAGGTAGGGCAATGACCACTTTTTGTGTTAGTCAAGATTTCTAGAAATCCCCCGAAATCTGGGTTAGCCCGCTTGTCCTTAAAAGCAATCATTTTTCCTGCGCTGTCAGGTTGCAAATCCGTGACCTCTTCGATGAGAGCCAAACAGGGTATCTGAAGTTTTAGTTTAGTTTAGTTTAGGTAGAGGTTTTACGGTGCTCGCAATTGCATAAGCCGCACCCGAGGACCACAAGAGCCCATACCAAAGCTTACATGACAGCCAAAATATTTCATTTACTCGCTGGGCAAAGTTCGCTCAAGCAATTCTGAAAAGTCTGAGAACAAAATCAAAATCTCACAACTGCTTATAATAATATGAATAGAATGTATCTCTTTTTTAAAGCAGTGGCAGGATTATGATTCCGTATATGGATAAATGTTAACCTTCACTGAAGAACTTCCTCTACTGCCGTCCCAAGGCAGAGCAATGTATCTGACAAAATCAAGTTTTTTGTGTGTGTTTGTTTGTTATTGTTCCATTGATTTGTTACTCTTGTCTTTCTTGCCCATACTCTTCATATGCAGGACGACGTATCCTTATCTGAAATAGTAGTTTTCAAAGTGGTAACGGTACAGTGACGTATGTACATTTCCGCATAACCATGGGTAGAAACATTCATAATTATACACAGATTGTTTTAAACTTTATAGGCATTTTTCTCAAAATCATAAAAATTGCAGTTACGTCGCTCTGCCTTCGAGTGAGAAGCACTTCCTTTTGTCTTTGTTGTGAGTCATCTTTTCCTCAGTCTCATTGCTTGCGCTGTCTATCGTCCCAGTAGGCTTACTGTAGAACTGGTGAAGTGGATGCATGTGCACGCATGTCTATGAGCGTCAATGATCACAATTCAAAGAATCAAGAATCACACACTACACGCTCTCCTCTTCTACTTTTTGGCCTAGCCTAGGCCTATCTATACGCTCTCATACTGAGCGTCTAAGCTACGGCACATCACTTTAGCAATGGATCACGTAACGTGTCTTTTCGCACTATCTCTCTCTCCCTCTCTCTCTGCCGCCTGCCCCACCTCACTCATCACTGGACTAGCCAATCACAATGACAAACCGCTGACTGCCTGTTTGGAGCCCGCCTACAGCCCCCCAACCCCTAGACCTGCATGTGAGCCTCAACCACCCTCCCCCCCCTTATTCATTCCCCCAATAAAAGCTTTTGTGGGTGTCATAAAATAGCAGCACTTGTAGAGGTACACGATGGAGGCATCAGCCCCCAAAAAGAACCTGCATAATGGCCCTTCAGAAATGTTTAAAAAAGCCAAGTCCAAAATGAAAAAAAAACACCCCCCAAAACAAAGAAGGAGCATAATGGCCTACATTGCTACAATAGGTGTATTGATGCAATAGCACAATAGAATTGGAATATGAATCCTCCATATATATAATAATCTATATAATATAAATCTCTAGATCTATATATCTAGATCTATGGTAGAACAAGTGATTCATAGTCAGAATAGGAATAGTAGGCCATGAACGAAATCCGCAACCCAACAGAGGGACTCAGCTGAGACTAATAAATAACGCACGTGATGAAATGCACTTTTACCAACATTAACATTACAGCACAACCTAAAACAGGGTTCGACACAATAGAATTGGAATATGAATCCTCCATTCAGGTCTATAGGGATCTATATAAATCTAGATCTAGTAGAACTTGTGAGTAGGCCTTGAACAAATCCACATCCGAACAATCGGTCAACAGACGAAATTCAAAATGGCCACTCGAGCATGAAACTGAAAGTAGATCTAATTTACATTGTAATCCTCTTGCGTATTTGTATTATACTCGGGTTTCAACAATTCTGTCGGAAACGCCGACGTCGGCACGAAAATGAAAGTGCAGACAAAGTCGACCGGAGAAAAAGGGAGCGCTGTCAATCGACCAGGCCTCGCACTTTGCCTAATACAGGTGGGCCTAGCAATAGCATCGGCCGGGTTGCGATTGTCAGATTTCAGACGATTGTCAGCAAACATACAGGTCTAAACCCCGCTCCCCCCAGCTAGACGTCGCTCGATCTCTCCCACTGTATCTGAGTTCAACCCTTTCCTTGCCCCGCTAAACCAGAGCACAGGTAATTGAGTTTACATAGGAAAAAAAGGGGGATTCCGGTAAGGTCCCGCAGTAGGGATGGTCCCTCTGTAGCGGGTGCCGCTATAGTCATGTTCTACTGTATAGCTTCTATACAAGGTGAGTAAACCACATACAAACAGGCTTTTCATATAATAAAAATATAGGCTTACGGACACTTGTCTATATATATATGCCTCACATAATATAATAAAAAATATAAGCTTAAGGATACTGGTCTGTATGATATATGCCTTGCCTGATAGGCAGACGCAGGTTAGTATCAAAAGAACTCATAATAAACTAACTAGTTTTGGGTAGGAATTGATCTTGAATTTTGCACTCACAGCAGACAGAAAGGCCAGCTCTTTTGATTTTAGAACCACCTAGAAATCTTGAATTAACCTCATTCCCATGGGTGTTGAATAATAGGCGTATTTCAACACGGTCACTTTCCAATAGATCCTGCATCTATCCGGCCCCACTTAGCCTATGTGTGCAAAGCATCTGAGGGTGCGTCCGGGTTCCTCATTTTCCGCAGCTGAAGTGTGTGTGCATCGGTCTGTTCGTGTTTGTTTGTCGCCTACATCTAGAACCATCTGCACTGATTCAAAACTGAGGGGTACGACTCGTTCGAAACACACCAAGCTGGAAGCTCCGAATGTTCATCCAATTCCAATGAAATTTGAACAAATTGACCCACTTAAGACATGAAAAACTCGAAAGGATATTATAACCAAGATAAAAAGACATCTATTTTTTCAATGGAGAACTTGCCCAGGGAAAGAGACCAAGAGGAAGACCAAAATTGAGGTACAAAGACACCTGCAAAAGCAGCCTATCTAAGCTTGGAGTAGATGTTAGCATCAGGGAAAAAATAGCCGAGGACAGGAAAACATGGAGGAAAATGATAAAGAAATGCTGGACATAGACATAAAAAATTGGGTCTAATCAGAAGATAAAAGTCACGTCTTGAACAGTCAGGGATTAGAAGCTAATGCACAGAAATTCACCTAAGATTTCTTAAATGTTTTTTCCTTAGGCAATATAAATGTGAAGACTCTGTGCTAATCATACAACCGTAGGATTTGGTGTGTAGAAAACAAGAGAAAAAACCAAACACTGGCAGGGGTTACTTCAGACCTCCAGGTTGACAGGCGAACAACATCCTGCGGTAAGTTTTTGAGCATCCTAATATTTAAGCCCTGGTCTACAAAATTTATAAATAGTCTAGATCTAGATCTAGCATGGGTCTCAACTCAGAATTCTAAAAAAGGAGGAACTTTCCGGGTGATCGCCACAGAAGCCCATTTTCGCGAAACACCCACTGTTATTATATACTATACTGTTGAACCCTAGAATGCAGAAATAAAAATCATTAATTTATCAAAGCAAGGTTATTTCACACCAATTTGAGGGTTTGGGAGATAATTTTAGAGTCACAAACAAAATATTTACAATCTTGATTACGTACAGAAAGTGGTGGCGCCTTGGGTCTTGTGCAACTTATTAGAGCCATTGCCAAAACGTGGGGAAAAACACACACATCTCACATTAGTGTGCATAAAATGTGATGCATTAGTAATTATTCCTCCAAAACGTATACACACACATCAAATATAGGATGTAGAACCTGCATTAGCAGTTTCAGACCCCTTGTCAGCTTTACAATCTTGAGTTTGTAAATTTTGTGCCAAAAATGTTTGTTTTTTTAGTGATTCCTGGAGTGTCATTTTGAGCACACCAATGCAAACTCCCAAGAATGTCCAAAATTTAGTATTTTTGGGTGTGTTTTTTTTTAACGTGTGCTTTGATCCTATGTTATTTGTCATTGAGAAAGGTTAACTTGCTCAAGAAATCGGTTAATTTGTTTGCAA